TTCTTTCTTCCTCCGATCGTCTTGTATCGTCCTCAAGCTCATACTTGGCATATTTTCATTCTCGTTCTGCACTTTAGCTCAACTTTTCAATATTTGCATCTTTGGTCCCCGAACTATCGCTTTGTTCCATTTTGGTCCTTTTTCGGCTCTTTTCTTATGAATTCCATCTTTTCCATAGAAACACCTACATTGCATGAATTTAACAAGATTAAGTCACAATTCAACTACTTTGTCCATGTTTAAGTCATGTTTGTGAGCTAAATATGTGTGTAAAAACACACTTATCAAATCCCCCAAACTTAAACTATTGTTTGTCCTCAAACAATGTAGTGACTTAATGCTAAACAAACATGGCTTAATAGCTTGTCGTGTCTCAGGATTGGACTTAGTAATAATAATAGAAACAATATCAAGAGTGCGAGAATTGAATCAACCTTTACTCATCAAATGCAATGCTCAACGTGTGTGTGTGAACTCATGCCAACATATCAAACTTATGATTAGTTTATTCCCGACCCAAAGTGGTCAAATTTATCCTTACGTCACTCGAGAGATACACAATCCCCAAATGTATTCTTTTCACACAAATTCTCCGTGGTGTATTCTAAGGTTAGGAGTTTAAACAATTCTAATCCTTACCCTCTCTTAGTTTGGATAGATTTTACCATTACAAGTTCACGTATCAACAAGTAGAGACTCTCCTTATTTTGATTGCTTCAACCTTTAGGATTAAACTAAACTACTTGCCTCGTATCGAGGTTATAGTTCTATCAACCAAATGTCCAACGAGGGCTTTTTTTTTCTTTTTTGTGTGTCATCTTCTCATTTTCTTTTTATATAACCCATGTAACGAGCTTTAGGTGATGACTCCCAAACCAGTTGATTTTAGAGCACTAGGTTTTAAACCCTTGCAGTCTTATTCACTCGAGTTATAAAGGCTCGATAAGATGACTTTTTATCAATTTCTCCATTTTCTTGCTTTCTATATGACCCTTGTAACGAGCTTTAAGCCGATGACTCCCAAACCAGTTGGCATTAGGGCATCAGGTTTTAAACCCTTACAGACTTACTTGCTCGAGTCATAAAGACTTTTTGAGAGAAGTGATAATTTTCCACTTTTTACTTTATATCCCTTCTTCGTTTTTCTAGACATTTGACTTCCAAAACCATCATCACTTAAAACTTTCACCTATTTCTCACCTTCCGAGTTTAAGCAATCCACACATTATAATTTCATGCACGGAGCCCCCACTTACCTCAATGTTTCCCTACAATG